AAGAAGCATCCGGATAAAGTCTTGCTGATCAGCGCATGCTTTTCAAAGAATGAGACTGAACTGAGGCCAGTTCTTGTCCCAAATCTGGGACTCGGAAATGGTGGGTTAGGCAAATCCCAAATGTGATTATGTTTAAGAAGACTGCTGGATTGAGAAAAAACAATTATAGTAAATTTGCTAGTAGAATCACTAAAAGTCACAGGAAGCAGTTTTAAAAATCCTGCCAGCATTGGCGTGACTGTGGCTTTTGCAACTGTATTTCATGAGACTGGGCAAACCCTCTGGTACAACAACCAGTTATTCATCTGTATGGGACCAGGAATAGGGACAGAAGTTACACACAAATGGGTTTAAGTGATCAGAAACTGGTTAAAACTGTAACAGAACAGAAGTTCAGTATACATAAACTAGTTTCAAAATGGCCAAAACTGGTTAAGATAAACTTGGTTGAATGAAGTATCAGACTTAACTGATTGAGGTCAAACCAGTTTATGGAACTTCTGTCCCAGACCCCTTCCTGGTTTAAGTTAAACTAGAGTCCCCCAGCATCCCAACATGCCTTTCAGTCCTTGGCTGGGCTGGGCTGTGCTGTGCTGGGCTGTGCTGTCTGTTCCAGAGAGCAGGGCTGGCCCCACCCCTCCACTCTGTAGCCAGAGCAGGGGCAGGGATGTGGCCAGATGCCGGCCCAGCATGGCACCCTGACGCAAAGGGGGGGCAGGGAGGGGACTTACTCTCCTCTCCCACCCGTCTCTCCTGGGGGACCCCAGCCAGGGTCTGCCTGAATGGGGTGGAGCAGCCCCTGTCAAATTTCCCTCCCATCTTGCTGCTGGAGCGGCGGGGGGCATGGCCAGCCCCGGCAGCAGCCTCAAGTGAATGGTGGATGGAGGAAGGTTTAATTTCCCCCTCCCTCCCCTATTCTACCAGCACAGACCCCAGCCAGGATCTGCCTGACTTTCCCCCTTGCTCCTGGTTCAGCATGGCCCAGGACCCTCCCAGCCAGGGGGCAATTTCACTGCACCTTCCCAGCTGCCAGGGAGGCAGCTCAGGAGCAAAGAGCAGATTGGGGGGCAGGGAGGGGAGCGAAACAGTCTCAAACCCAGGTGGGGACACACACACAGGTATCATGGAGGCAGCAGCTCATTCCTGGATGTGAGCCCTGTTGAGCAGAGGGACCCAGGCTGGGGGTGAAGGTGGGGAAGGAGCTTGAGTGTGTCAGTGCTAGCGGGCAGAGCGGACCTGAGCATGCAGCTGGGGAAGTGGCTTCTGCCTGGTGGCCCCTTCTACCCACTGGAGAGTGGTGCCCAGGCCAGCTCCGGTCCTTGCAGCAGCACACGCTGTATGGATTCACCCCCTTAGGTCTAAGCACTGGTACCTGCCCTGAGCTGGTCGTGCACTGCTGACTTCCCCTACCCGGCGGTGGCGCAGCGTGGCCTTGTGTATCAGGCACCTGGTGCAGTGCTCTACCCATATGGTTTCCCCTCTACCGCCACCACCACCATCAGGGAGGCCCACCCTGGTCATACTGGTAGGTGCTGCCCATGCTGTCGAACTGTCGTCAGCCACCAGGCAACCAGACAGCAGCAGTGGGGATACCATAGGTGCAGCAAGGTGTGTACCAGGTGTGGGGCGCTAACCCTATAGGTTCCCCACCATTGCTATCTGTCCAGTTGGTGGTTGACCTCAGTCTGGTGGTGCAGGCGCAGTGCCTACCAGCATGGCCAGGGTGGCCCCCCTGATGGTGACAGTGGCGGTGGGGAAGCTGTAGGGGTAAAGCCCTGTGCCTGGTACATGGGGCTGCCACTGCTGCTGCCACGTAGGAGAAGACTCAACAGTGCGTGCCCAGCTTGGTGTCCAGCAGCCTGGGAGATGCAGGTAATAGTGCTTGGGGCTGAGGGAGTGAGCCTGCACCATACGTACCATGGCGGGAGCCAGGGCCAGCTTGGACATTGCTCTTCAGAGGGTAGAAGGGGCCGCTGAGCAGGAGCTGCTTCCCTAGCTGCATGCTCGACTCACTCAACTCTGCCCCAGGCTAGCACTGACACTCAAGCCCCTTTCCTGCCTGGCCCCAGCCTGTGTCCCTCTGCTCAGTGGGGCTCATGTCCAGATGGAGCCACCACCACCACCACAACCCCTCTGTGCGTGTCCCCACCTAGGCTTGGGGCCATTTCGCTCCCCTTCCTCCCCACAATCTGGCCTTTTCTTCTTGGTTGCCTCACAAACCCCAGCCCTGGTGGCTGGGAAGGCATAGCAGGATCACCCCTTGGCTGGAAGGGGTTTCTGGGCCTTACTGAGCCACGAGCAGGGGGGGAAAGTTAGGTAGACCCCAGCTGGGGTCCCTGCAAACCAGGGTGGGGGTTTAAACCCCTCCCCAGTTGTACTTAGCCTGTCAGGGCCTGGCCACCCCCATCCCCAAAATTCAGGTTCCTTCCAGCGTGAAGGGAAGGGAGGGCTCGCTCTAGTCTAACCTGCAAAGATTGAATCAAATTTCAGGCTCAGGTTTTTTGAATGTCTGTACTTAGCCTAGATGGCGTGGGAGCTCCTCTTCATTTCAGAGTCAGGGCCTCATGCTGCTGTGTTTTAAATACTTATTTTAAACTGTTATTAATTTCTGAGATGGTGGGATTAAGCCTTAGAACCTTGTGTGGAAGTGGGAACAGATAGTACCCAACTATTCCATGGAACTAGGACCCAGGCTGCCATTTCTTTGGATCAGCTAGTTTAGACAAGTCACCATGGAGCTGCAAGATTGCCTCCTTCCTTAGATAAGACTGTAATTCAAGTCACTGGGCTTTCTAATTAAATTGCTTAGGTATAACTGGGGCAAGAATTAGATAAATGATTTCAATAAGGGTTTGGCAATGAAAGGCATACAGAATTGCCCCCAGTGATCTAGAGTTTGGCTATATTCATAACATCTTCATGAGTTCAGCCTGAGTTGATTAATGCCCTTTAGCTATATTCATAATTACATGAACTGAGGGATAGGCAGTCTCTAGCATTGGTTGCATTAGGGTTAATAGTTCATGTTTGAAGCTCATTTGCATTTCATTTCTTTTTCAGTTGTTTGTTTTTCCTGTAGCCAAAAAATTGTTTTCCATAGTAACAGTACAAATAATAAAAAAAATTATAGTGAAGGCATCCAGTTGGCTTTATTAGCCTGATGGAAGTAACATAGAAAGAATATCATTTCCAGGTGTTTGTACATTTCTGTTTGTTATGGTTACAGGTGTGGACAGTGGCTATTCTACTGGAGATGAGTTTTCTTCACCTTTCTACAAAGTGCCAGAAAACTGTCTTATTTAACATTTGTACTAAGGGTCCTCTGATCTCTGATGAAAAATCATTAAAGAATGCTTTGGAATCTTGTATTCATTGCAGTAACTTTTCAGAATATATAGATGATGCACTATTTTTGTATTCCTTGGAAATAGAAATGGCTTGAATCAAAACTTAAAACACGAAGGCAGGATAAAAAATCTTTACATTGGTTTGGCGATTTAGCTTTGCCACATTGAATTGTAGAACAAGACATGAACACTGCTAGTTGAAGAGACCAAGGGCCATTTGATAGGATTTTCATATTGTTTTCACAAAAAAAGGGCCACAGGTTTTGACTTATAGTGAACACCTCTATTCACTCCATGGTGTTACTGCTGTACAAGAATTCAACTGAATTTTTATGCTGCTGCCAAGCTTGCTGGAGCTTATGCTGCACTGTTTACAGTAGTGCTCTCAATCTTATGCCTGAGAACCTAAAAACATGATACCTCGTTATGTTATATATGTGCTTTTGGTTTCCAGTGGCAGGTCTCCAAGGGCACTGACCATTGAGCTGTTAAAAGAGCAAGGTTTTGATGAGACAAATCCTCTCCCTCTATTACATGCTCATAATATCACAGTACCTGGTGCAGCAGCTGGCTGGTGTGATGCTGTTTCCCTCTATGGAAGCAAAAAGGTGAAGCTAAGTCAAAGTGTTTGCTTTATAAACAAAGATTAATACACACTTTTTCTTAATTTTAAATTAAAGGGCAACATTTTTCAACCTTAATGTTTTATTTATATAGATGATTTTCCTTTATATAGATGATTTACCTTATTTTATAAACATTAATGTTTAGTTACAAAAGTAACTTGCGTTGCATGTGTAGGTGGGTGGGGATTTTTATACTCTGAAGTCTGTTACAAAGGAAGTATAGTTCCATTTTATGTTGCTGCTTGCTGTACTGCATTTGAATAATTGTGCCATTTCTCTCTCTCTCTCTCAACACTACCACGTTGCTTTCAAGAAAATTTGAGATACAATGTGAGGACTTTGCTAGTGGCAGTAGCTAATATTTATACTGCTTGAACTAGCAGGATTTAAGGTGCATTAGAGATCAGATGCTTTCATCTTTAGGGAAAAAGAAGAATAGTCGGGATGCAGCTATAGCTGGTTCAGTACTTGGGGTGAACAAGTTTGTTAGCAACAGGGCCAAGGGAGGGGAAAATGCTTTCCCAGCATTTTGGAGCACTCTGAACCCTATGCTGTTCTAGACAAACTTTTATTTCATTGTGAATAGATAGGAAAAGGAAAGTACTAGTGTTTTGAAGTCTGAATACCTCCTGTACTAAAAGAAATCCATAAAAATTATTTATCCACAGTAACATTGAGCCCACATGTTAAATTCAGTGGAGAAATAGCATGGGAGCAGGAGGACAGTGATTTGCTGTTACTTAATTGTCATTGCTACAGATGTTCAGTGCATGTTGGTAACTGAAGTATGGTATGACAAATATAACACTTTACCTGCCAAGTGCCATATTACTGCGGTCTGCTGCATCTTATGCTAATATATTTGTACCAGCTAACTCCTTGATTGTTCAGTTTCATGTACTTTACTTTGCACATGTGAACAGCCTTGTTACTTTGGGTGAAACTGCTTGTACATGCATGTTTTTGCTGTATGGAAGCTTTAATTGCTAATTCAATGATCTGGAAGTATTTTGGAATCCTTCTTCAGCTCTCCATGGGACAGATTCTTCAACCTGCCATTGAACTGGCTGAGAGAGGCTTTCCTGTGGCAGAGATAACTGCCTACCATTGGAAGCGTGACGTCCATGTTCTGCAAGCACCCGGAAATGAGCATGGAAAGGACCTACTCATTCATGGCCAAGCACCTCTTCATGGACAGGTTTTCTGCAATCCTTTTTTGGCTAACACCTTCAAGGTAAGGAAGTGCATATGTGTGAGATTATAACCACCTGGTCCTCAGAGTCAACTAAGTAATCCTTACATTTTTTTACTATAATTTTATTCTTTATTGAGGGCTCAGTTCTTTGTTTCCTCTACATCCAAGTTTCCCATAAACTATTTTGGGAAGCTGGTATACAAGGAACACAGATCCAGCCTCTTAAATCATTTAATGTAAAGTTAAATAATGGCAAGTTTCAGTGAAAAGGACTCTACCCAGTGCTTGTCAGATTTCACATGCAGCAGAATTCTCAGATCCTGAACCTGAATGTTACGCATTCCCTAACATTTCCGTTGAACTCAATAGAAACTCAGTGGGAATTGGTAGAGTTCACATCCTCGAGGATAGTGTGCCTCATTGTCTACACTTGTTTGCCCTTCAACCTGCAGAGAATTTATTTCTCAGGTACACTGATATATATCGGTGTACCTGAGAATAGAACTTGTCTGAACAGTGGAATATAACCATATACATTTAGGGATCTATCAATCAGCAGAAATAAATATAGCTAAGCATGGGACAAGTAATGGGACATCAAAGGTCTCAGGTTTTGAGGCTTAGAATTTGTGAACTGTCTGAAAAATATAGCGGAGGGGCCAAATATGGTATGTCTTTTGGTCACATCCCTGTGTTGACAATGCAGCTGCATGCTACACATGGAGGAACCTGTGGTGGGAATCCTCTCCAGCGAGGACGTCATCTGCTATTGCTCACTCCTAAGTGCAGGGAATTTCCTTCCTTCATTAATTCAGCTTCCCTGCCTCTCACATTGGGAATAGAGTAGGAGTCAAGACTGCTCACATCCCATTCCTCTTTATCTACTAAATAGTTCACATCTACTTTCCAATATCTACTTTTCATTCTCCTTCCATTTTTATAATCACTGAAATATGCTGAATTACATTGCTTAATAGGTGGGGATATCAGTTTCCTAAATAAGGGACTTTGCAAAAGAAAAGGTACAGATAAAGCACCTAAAATTGAAGGGTAAATTCTGTTTACCATCATGTCTGTAAAACTCTGGCCAAGCTACATTAATTGAAGAATTTGGTTCCTACAACTCATTTGCTAATTTTTTACCTGTGAAGGATATATGTTTACATCATTGTAAATGGAAAAGGTGAGTATCTATTTCAACTTCACATTAGTATATCCATTCATAGTCTTCTTTACATACAGAAATAACATGAATTCAGAAAAATCCTTTAACAGTGATTTAGAAGCACAAAATGTTGTACAAAATGGATTTTAACTATTCTTTAATTGGAAATGTTCTCTGTAGCCAGCCTAATGGCTTGGATGCATTAGGCCAAATTCCTGTCTCATTTAATCTGGTTTAGCACCATTGCTTACAAGCTACTCCTTGTGTTTTTTAAGGGAGGGAAAAAATGCTTATGAAATAATGTACAAACATTTAGAGAGGATATTTGGAAGTTGCTTCTGCTCTTTACTCTGTCTTTAAAATTGCTAATATAGTACTGAATGCAAGTCATTCTTACCATATAGTACTTACAGCCATTGTGCTACTCAGTATTTACTTAAATAGCTAATGAGATTATCATGTTTGTATACAGACTCTGATTTTCTCAGCACCTGCAAACCTAACATTTTAAAGTTCCTGGGGTGTTTAAAACTGTGGTTCACAAGTATTTGTGTGTAAGAGGTTACCAATAAAGGCACTAGCTCAGGCAGGGGGAGGGTATTCTGTGCTGGCTCAGAGTCATAGTGAAACAGGCCAGTATGAAGCCCCTGCAGGACTGGGACCCCCAAATCATTAGAAATCTCATATAATACTTTTTTTGTTTAACACATGGCTTTACTTTTAACACGTTCATTTTTATATAATCATAGCTAAGAGATGAGTATTAGTAATTGATTGTATAGTAACAATTTGATTCATTAGTAAGATTACTCACATGGTTGTTATGGTTGGCTTTTGCTACAAAACACTCCTGGATATGTTAGTAGTTTGTGTTTTATTGCTTGTTTTTTTGTTTTGTTTTTTGTTTTGTTTTTTATAAATGCTTTTGGCAGCTTTGGGAAACTTCAGTCCCGTTAACATCATCCATATTAGACTTAATATTATTCTTTCTGCTGAATAATACCTACAGGCTGGGGAACTCCCTTCTTGTCAGTATAGAGGCAGAAAAGGATCTTGGAGTCATCATTGATGCCAAGATGAATATGGGCAGGCAGCGTGGGGATGCAGTCAGGAAGGCCAACCGCACCTTGTCATGCATCCACAGATGCATCTCAAGCAGGTCCAGGGACGTGAT